AAGGAGAGAAAACTAAGCTTCAGTAAAGGAAGCAAGTTAAAATTCCCTTTTTGGGCCAAAATTTCTAAACAATTCTATAATTTCTTTAGTTTATTCTCATTCCTAATAAGAAGACATCAAAATATCATCTTTATTACTTCTGTTGAAGTCTAACTCAATTGCATCATTGTATTTTAAATAATATAAATCCTTCTTAAACATTTAAAGCTTCTGAATGCATTGAAATTTACATAATTTTAATTTAATCTTCTTATTTTACAACATTTACGTTTCGGACATTATTCTACATGCAAACAAAATTTGATCCTTAGTTTCAAAAAGCAACGGATTTACGTAACAATTATGAACGAGTTTTTAATAACTCAATGTAACAAAAAGTTTAAACTGTTTTTAAAAAATTCTGAAACATTGTTGCGATATCTGCTGGTGTTGAAACAGATTCATAAACCACAAAATATCATGGAATTCATTAAAATAGTTTTGAACAAATTTTCAATAGTTTTAATAAAGTTTAAAGTAGAATTTAATTATATTCCAAGTATTAATTATTGAAAAATTCAATAAATAATAAGTCTAGCTACAGGAGTAAGAAAAAAAAAACACAACCTGCAAGCTCGATTTATTTTGTGGTAAACTTTTTTAATTTGAATTAAAATAATTAAAATAATATGAGAAGAATTAAGATCCATAGCTGCTGTATGTGAATTATAATGTATAATAAATCTGGTTTTATTGAAATCGAACCAGTAAACCTCAATAAAGATGATCTCTTCCCAAAGAGTAGAAAAATAAGTGATCTTTGCCTGAAAACTACTTGTAATCATTTGAAAATGGCTTCCTGAATTTGAATAATGTTTAAACATCATTGATCTTTAACACATCCTCATATCTCATCATTGAACTAACTCTGCAGTAATATCATATTTGCACACACTATATCTTAAATTGAATCATAAATGAAGCTATAAACATGCATCCATCCAATGCAGATACATCATACGTCTATCAAATAAATTAGATTGTAAAGTAAATGTCAGAAAAGTGTTGAAAATAGCTTAGTAAAATTTCTATAATGCAAATTCCATCATCTGCATCAACAACAGAAGCATTTTCAACCTAATGATGGAACTAATGAATTTTAATGAGGTGACATATTATATGTAAATATTATGTAAAAGGTTAAGGTATTAAAATACAATTAAGATTGCATTTTAATGAAAATGTAAACGTGCACATAATCCTATAAAGATTAAACAATAAGGTGCGCGCAGTTCGTTTAGACGCACTTAATTTTTTTCAAATTTTCCTTTAATAAACACTATTAAGACAAAAACTATTTTATGTGTTTATAGCTATGACCAATTAGGTTATAAATATAATAAAAGTATCTGACTAAATGCTTTGCTTAAGTAATTAAAATAATTTTTTCAAAAATTACAACAACAAAGTGCGCAGTTCGTTTAGACGCACTTTGAAAAATCTAAAATTTTGTCTTATTTACGTTTCGTAGAAAACTTAATCGTTTCTAATATTAATCTATCAACAAAAACGAGTAATTACTGAGGGTTTTAGAATTTTCCATCAAGTTTTTCCAGAGATTTTCCTTCATTAAAGTTTTCATGTTGCAAAAATTTTGATAAATTATTTATCCAATAATTTTGCGTTAAATTATTATTCTTTTAACTGATTTCCATAGATAATTGTCCATAATATTAGAAAATTAACAGATATTTAAGCTTTCTTATAAGTATAAGGCGAAAATATGTGAAAAATATAATTATGGTGAAAAATTTCCACCACTCTCATAGATTAATCAACAAATTTTGACAAAACTGTAGATACCATAATAAATTTGAATAGACCAGCTTATTTATCGTATTAAACTTAGTTAAAAACAGAAAACTGCACAGCTCTATGGCTAATGGAACTTGAAAATTTTACTGAAAAATTAAGTTGTGGTGAAAAAATTCACCATAGAAAAATAAAATTTTAAAAAACGTTGTTTTAGGCAATTGTTTCATTTAAATTAGGTTGTAAAAGTGTTTCTGTCTCAAAATTAATCAATTTAAAACATGAATTAAAACCTTAGACAACGTTTTTTAAAATTTTATTTTTCTATGGTGAATTTTTTCACCACAACTTAATTTTTCAGTAAAATTTTCAAGTTCCATTAGCCATAGAGCTGTGCAGTTTTCTGTTTTTAACTAAGTTTAATACGATAAATAAGCTGGTCTATTCAAATTTATTATGGTATCTACAGTTTTGTCAAAATTTGTTGATTAATCTATGAGAGTGGTGGAAATTTTTCACCATAATTATATTTTTCACATATTTTCGCCTTATACTTATAAGAAAGCTTAAATATCTGTTAATTTTCTAATATTATGGACAATTATCTATGGAAATCAGTTAAAAGAATAATAATTTAACGCAAAATTATTGGATAAATAATTTATCAAAATTTTTGCAACATGAAAACTTTAATGAAGGAAAATCTCTGGAAAAACTTGATGGAAAATTCTAAAACCCTCAGTAATTACTCGTTTTTGTTGATAGATTAATATTAGAAACGATTAAGTTTTCTACGAAACGTAAATAAGACAAAATTTTAGATTTTTCAAAGTGCGTCTAAACGAACTGCGCACTTTGTTGTTGTAATTTTTGAAAAAATTATTTTAATTACTTAAGCAAAGCATTTAGTCAGATACTTTTATTATATTTATAACCTAATTGGTCATAGCTATAAACACATAAAATAGTTTTTGTCTTAATAGTGTTTATTAAAGGAAAATTTGAAAAAAATTAAGTGCGTCTAAACGAACTGCGCGCACCTTAGTTTATTATGTAAATTTGATTAGAATTTATGCAGTATATGTTGTAACTCAATAAAGAGAACAAATTAAATTTTACGGAAATGATAATTTTTATTTAAACAAACGAGAAGGAAATTTTCATTTGAATATAATTTTCAAAGCAACATGCCATGCATTTTTGAACACACACTTTTCAGTTGTAGATTTGATTTATTTTTGGATTTTAAATTTTTCTTATTTTTTAAGTTCTTTGACAAGCTTCTGATTTTTCAAGCACACTTTTGGTACTTTGTAGGATTCTAAAGTCCAAATTTGGAAATTTTAAGGATTAAATAATGAGAATTCATCAATATCCAGCACAAAATGTCAATTCCGTTCATAAGAATCGCAATTTCCACAAATTAAATGTAGTCAAACTGAAAGCAATCATCAAATCTTAACTAAATACACATGACATCAATTCCCATCAACAAAAGCAGAACTGCCGAAGAAAATTAAGCATTTAATAAGGATTAAATGCTTTTTCGTTTGTGTTTAATTAAAGACAAAAACTATAAAGCCAAAATCAATCAATTTCAACAGCCATAAAAGTGTTTATTCAAGATATGAAGAGTGGAAAATTGTCAGAAAATTATACAGCAGTGAAATGAAGAGCCTTGGACTATTATATATCTCATACTTAATAGGATTTTCTCTTATTTATTGCATGATGATGATGTGATGATTATGACGAGATCCATAGGGAACAAATGAAGCAAAAGTATTGATGTGAAAAGCACTCGTCAACTGATAAATGTGTGTACACATGTACATCCCAATAGGGGAGCGAACAGCAATAGTTCTAATAGTATGGGATGAAGTAAAAGAGAAAGAAAAATTGTTATTGATTAGATTTCATAATTTCTTTCCAACGTCCATCATACTATTTATATATTACTAGCCAATATGTTACTAGTTCAAGCCATAAGGCAGTTGAGAGGAAGACTGATATGGAGGAAATTTATTAAGGATATGTGAAGAATTTTTAAAGTTAAAAAGGTAAAGCATAAAGTTTCCAGCCTTTTTGCACTGAGATTCAAATTAGAACAGATTCTATTGTACCACACATTTTAGACATACAGTTTATAGTGGAATCCAAACCACTTGCAAGCTCTGCACATTGCAAAGACACGAGTTCGTCTAAAGACCTGATGAGCAATGTACCTTGTCATTGCTTGATCCTTTTATGCCTAGCAAAAGAGGCATATTCTATGCCGAAGACCTCAAAACTACACCCAATACAGGAACCGAGCTTCTTGACTAGACCGTTGAAATCAAGGCGTGTAAACTATCCCAAATATCATATTTATTTCACATATCCCAAAAATATTCTAAAAATTCCTGAGCATGTATGCACGATAATAAAGATATCCCAACGTATCCTTAGTGTATTGGACGTGTAATTTCAGGATATGATAGGATATCTCAATTCTAATGCATACAGGCTCATGGATTATTTTGAATATTTTTGGGATATATGGGATAATTGGGATAGTTTTCACGCCTTGGTTGAAATGGAAAAAGAGCTTCTAAAACTTTACTTGGCCTGGGATTGAACCCAGGCACGTAAGACCAACTCCCCCATACTAGGAAAATATTTATAAAAAATATTATTCTACTCGAAATTGTTCAAGAATTCTAATTTCTTGCTTAATAAATTTCATTTATGGAAAATAAATTAGTTAAGCAGCTCTCCATGCATTCTCTTTCCATATTCATCATTGTTCTTTCAACACATTGCAACATTTTCACATTACGACTTATTCCACGTCAATTAATCATAATTTCATTTAATTTGCTCATAGAAACATGAAATATATTAGAATGATGTAGATGAAAAGTGTTTGGCATGATTTTTTTGGCATTGAGAGTTGCTTAAATAGAACCAGTTGAATAAAATTATGATAAAATTTTTTTTTGTAGTGTTGCAATAAAAAAGAAGTTTGTCATTTTAGTGCAATTTTATGACCTTATAAATATTTGTAAAAAACAAAAAATTGTGCTCAAAAATTGAAACTATAGTAAAAAGTTTACCAATTTTTTGATATTCAAAAGTTTCCACAGTGCCATCTGACGGAAAAGTTTCTGGACTGGTAGTAGAAAATTTTCTATAAAACCATAGCCCGACCCTCATGTACTAACACAATTCAAGCCTCAACATAATTCGATGTTGTCTTCGATAATAGAAAATCGTTAAATATTGTAATTATTATCAATTTTCGTTGTCTAAAAACTATCAAAAAAGATGGACTATGGTAAGATGAAGGTGGTTGAGCTAAGGGCTGAGCTACAGGCACGAGGATTGGACACAAAAGGTAATTTTTTTTCCAAATTGTTTGGCTTCGGGCTTTTTTTTTCACATCCAACATTGAAAAAAAAAAACTTTCTTCTCCAATTTTCCATCAAAAACAGGCGTAAAGGCAGCATTAATAGATCGATTAAAAGAAGCATTGGATCTTGAGGAACAACAAACAGGTTTGTTGTGTTTTGATAAAGTTTTATTATCATTGTGTGGAAGTGAATGAGATGAAAAGTTCGCGAAAAATTACAACAAATACGAGAGAGTTTGGAGGCCACTCGACATACTTCAGCACATGAAATTGATGAAAAGTGAAAAGTGAAAAGTGACTTAAAAGGTCAATTAATCAGCTTCGATTCAATTTAAAATATTATTAATTTAAATCATTTATGAAATTTCATTAATTACACTTAAAAGTATTGAAAGAGTCACGATTTTTACAAAAATGCCGGGTAAAAAAATTCTTAGTTGTGCTGAAGCATAATATATAGTCTCATGAACTTTTCTTTGTGTTGGTAATCGCGCTATTTTGATTTTATTCTCAAGTACATTTCCACTCATATTCAGTAACAAAAAGTTTCACATTGTAATACATGAATATTAATAATAATAATTTTTATGACATTCACGATTTATCTCTAGAAGGAGGAGCACCAAAAGTATCAACACCGGCGGCACCTGAGACACCAAGAGCATTACGTAGAAATTCCCGTTCACGAACAAGATCACCAGAACCAGTAGTTGTAAAACCAGTCATCCAGGATCCACAATTACAAGCAGTTTCAGAAGAGCCTGAGGAAGCACCACAGCAAAAAGCAGAACCAGCTGAAATATCGAAACCTGCCGAAAGTGAGCAAAAAGATACTGAAATGTATGAGAAAATAATCGATGAGATGGATGCTGATGACAATAATCAGCAACAGGAAGAAATTGATGAAGATGCACTTCTTGAAGAAACAGAAAGCAGTGAACAAAAAGATAAACAAGAACAGCCAGAACAGCCAGAGCAAGAAGACCAAAATATGGAAACAGCTGATGGTGAAGAAAAAGAAAAGGAACAACAAACGACTACAGATGAAGAGAATCGTGGCGTCAAAAGACGCTCAAATTCACCAGCAAAGGGTGAGTCGCCGAAAAAGAAGCAACGACTTCCACCACCAAATATTGATGACTTTGTGAACGATGAGGATGAGCCGGAGCTTGATGAAAATTCATTACAATTATCATGGTGTAAGTAACATTGACATGAATATCCACAAATAGATTTATGATAGACAATTTTTTTAAAGAACTTTTTCAAGTCATTGAAGCTTGATAAGGCAGAAAAAAATCCCTCGATTCATATTTATAATCATCTTTACTTATTCTCATTTTAGTTGATTCTGATTTAAATCTCAAAATTGATCGTGACACATTCACGTCTGCAATATCACTGTGGGATACAGGCTTAGCTCTCGTGTGGGCTGGAGCTCGTGCAAATTATGGCGCAATTAATAACGGAAAATACTTCTATGAAGTTCAAATCCAGGCACATAACAACAAAATCAGTTATCCGAATGAAAAAAATCTCCATGAAATACGTTGTGGATGGTCAACGTCGAGGTCAAGTCTCCAGCTAGGAGAGAGTGAATTTTCATATGGACTTGATTCGTCTGGCAAAAAATGCTGTAACTCAGAATTTACTGAATATGGAATTAAAGCAAACGTACACGATATTATTGGTGTTCATTTAAACTTGACTGATGACAAGTCCACAATTCAATTTACAATTAACGGAAAGGATCAGGGAATTGCATTTGAATTTGAAAAGAGTTCATTAAACAATGAAGCTTTATTTCCACACATTTCGACAAAGAATATCGAGTACAAAGTCAACTTTGGTCAACATGAAGAATCGTTGTGGAGTTTGCGTCGCGATGGACACAAAGAAAGTGAATTGAAGAGACGTCGTAAAGAGTTGGAAAACAAAAAGAAGGAATTGGAAAAGAAACGAGAAGATAAGGCAGAAAAATTGAGGAAGCAAAAAGAGGCAGAAGCTGAAAAGGCTGAAAAGGCTACAACATCAGCAGAGCAGGCAAAAGAAGAAAACAAAGAGGAATCGACAGAAGAAAAACCATCCACAGAAGGTGCAGAAAAAGCATCAACAGAAGGTACAGAAAAACCAGCTGAAGAAGCTGAAAAGCCAGCCGAAGAAACTGAAAAACCAGCTGAAACAGAACAGACAGCTATTGCCGAAGAAGTTCCAGAAGAACCTGAACCAGTTTTACCTGATGATATCACAGAAGCTGAAATTGATGCTGACACACCACATAATAGCTGTTTAGATGGTTACACTTATATTGGAAGCTTGCCAATTACTGATCTTTCGAAAGGTCCACGTAGACCAGAAGTAAGAACAGATTGTGAAGTCATCATGATGATTGGATTACCAGGAGCAGGAAAGAGCCATTGGGCTCTTGAACGAGCCAAAGAATTCCCAGAAAAACGCTATACACTGCTAGGCACAAAGTACTTGTTGGAACGAATGAAGATTCTTGGTAAGCCACGTAAACCAAACAGTGGACCAGGACGTTGGGAAAAATTAATTGAATTGTGCAATCGTGGACTTCTGACACTTAACGAAATTGCTTGCAAACGTCGCCGTAACTATATTCTTGATCAACCACATGTCTACATTAGTGATCAACGTCGTAAGATGCGTGTCTATGGAGACTTTAAGAGAATTGCAGCAATTATTGTTCCAGCTGAGGAAGAATACAAGCGCAGAGCTAAACAACGATTAGAGACAGAAGGAAAAGATATTCCAGAAGCAGCAATCAATGAAATGAGAGCAAACATTACATTACCAGAGTTGGAATACATGTGGTTTAATGAAATTCTCTATACTGATCTCGAAAAGGAGCCAGCTGTTGAAGAAGTCAAGAAAGAAAATGAACGTGGAAAGAAGGCTTTAAATCAACGTAATCGTCAGAATAATTTCAATAGACGTGGTGGTAGTGGTGACTTTAATAATCGAAATAATCGACAATGGGGTGGACAAGGAGGACAGAATCGAAATGACTTCCGTAGAAATGATCGCTGGGGCCCACCGAATCAGAGACAAATGCCAGGTGCAGGATATCGTCGAGACTTTGATTTTAATGGTGGACGAGGAAGGAATAATTGGTCTGGTCCAGATAATTGGATGAATCGTCAACGAGGTGGATATGGAGGTAAACTAGCTATTTATAAATCTTAAAAAGTTTATATATTTAATATTCAAATTATTTTACAGGTGCACCACCACCCCGTCCAGGTCAAAAACGTCAACAAGATAACAGACAGCAAAATCAACGCAATGATCGTAGTAACTTCCGTCAAGGACAGAACCAAGGACAAGGCGGTAGCAATAACAGCAACCGCAATAATCAGAATCGTAGACAAGATGGAAATAAAAAGTTTGGAGGTGGAAATAAGAATGATTGGGCCCAAGGAGGTGGTTGGGGAGGAAATTGGGGAAATTATGGAGGACAAGGTAAGAATCTCATGAGATTTTTATGTGACCAAAAACTGACCGAAGATTATTTTTTGTAATTTTCTAGCATGGGGTGGCAATCAATGGAACCAAAACCAGTATGGCGGAAGCAATTCAAGCGCAGACAATTCCAACGATCAAAGTCAATCGTGGATGACATATTACCAGGTATGATTATTGCTCTCATCTGTGTTGTCTAATGTCATAAGGCTTAGGGACTAGAACATTCATATTTAAAGCTATAACTCAGTTAAGCTAAGCTTCATGACCCACTTTACTAACATTTAATATTAAGTATTTGTAATTATCATGAAACATTAACATGGCTCCATTCTAATATTTCCTTCAATCTTAAAGTAATTCAATTTCATTCCCAGCAGCAGTCACCACAACAGATAAGTCAAAACTGGTATAGCGATACAAATTATGGCGGTGCATTTTCGTCAAACTCCAATTATGACAGTAATCAATCTAAGCAATAATGATTGAAGAGATGACTGTAGTCCTATAAAGAAAGTTTTGTACATTTTAAGATAATTAACATAGACATCCACAATAGGAAGCGCGCATAACTGCAACATAAAATTTCAACCTTCATTTACTTTTCCAAATTTTCTTTTTTTTTTTTGTTCACTCTTAGGAAATAAATTTAATTATTGCATTACTAATACAAATAGATTTTACAAAACATGATGTAAGAAGGTTGACGAGGAATGAACTTATCCATTAATACACACTAAGTTTAAGTTTAGTACAAATTTAAATCTAAAAACGCTAATAGCTCTTGTGTAAAAGACGATGAAAGAAACAAAAAAAAATTAACGAGTGAAAAAAAATGCAAATTTTGAACCTTAAAAAAACCCACGTAGTTAAGGATTAATAAATTATGAAGAATATTTACTTACGAATAGTAATTTACACGATGAGGATACTTTGATATATATTGATTGATTATAGTGAGGCATTTCGTGGTAAACGCATTAATTCTAACTTACCCTTTTCTTATTGTTTTTTATTATTATTATTTTTTTGGGGAAAACTTTAATTGGATAATTGCTTAGAATTAATAAAATACAGAATAAATGCAACTGTTAGGCATATAATAATTATGTTTGATCTATTTAAAGATTTTATCATTATTTCCTTAGTCTAGATAGGGGAAAGTTGAGAATTTTAGACATTATAAGAATGCTATATAGTTTAGTGGATGTCAAGAAGTTCGATCTTTTGACTATGAGTACCGCAACTCCATCCTTAATGTTTTGTTTTCAAAATTCTCAACTTTACTCCCCATACCCTAGTTTGTCACACTTCTCTGTCGTTTCGTTAAGTGGTCCTTCACTTATGACGTCCGAAATTAACGGTCATTTATCAATAATGAACAATGAATTTCCAGGAATTTCTATTGTTCTTTTCTTGCTGACCCCCCCCCCCCCCTTGGACGTCATAAGTAAACAGCCCCTAAATGAATTTTCAATTTTTTATCATTATTGGTCTCCTTAATATTGTTTTTTTTTGTGCTTTTCCCTCCTTATTGGCTTTTTTGTCTCATCATTTTGAACTTAATGGAAGGAATAAAAAACAAATTTGATTGATTATTTAATGATACTTTAGCACTAATACTTGTAGTACATAATTATGTATTCTAATCTTTAAAGTTTTGATTATCATTACTGTAATTATAAGACAAACAAGAAGAAATAAATGCAAAAATCATTTTGTGCATCAACTTGATAATTGGATCTTCTAATCTTCATTGTTTTAAATTTTAAATTTTCAGGATTTGATTATTCTTTTTGAATTAGTCAAAGTAAACTCTGAGTTGAAATTGAATTTTAAAATCTAATTTCAGATTTCAGTCATTTAAACAAGCGTGTAGAAGGTTAATGAACCGATAGTAAAAACTTAACATGACGTAATCGTATTCAGCGTCTAAACAAGTATCATCTTATACAAGTCTGAAATTTAACGTTTCAAGCAAGCTTTCTACACAATAGTTTTGTGAGTATAAACTTGAACACAAACTTTTTTCAAAGCAATACTTTAAACACAAGTTATTGATAAAAATATTTTTCCTTTGGCTTATTTTCCATCTGTACAATATCGTTGTAGAAACTTTCGCTGCATCCTTAAAACTTAAAAACCAATTTTGAATTGAAACAAAGTTGTTCCATTTTCAATTGTAAACTAGTAATGAAGCCGATCACGCTTCATGGGAATATTCCTATAGAACTCTACGTATTGTTCAGAAAATCTTGAAAAATCTTCTCTCAATAAAATGTAAGACTTAAGCTTAACATTTGCTGCATTATCAACAAAGTAAACAATGCCTTAAAAACACGTTTTACAAATTGTTTTATGTAGATCCGATATCAATATAGCTTACAGTCTAAGATAGTTTTGCAACTTCCGCTTCGCACCAGTTGCTGCTCTGTAGTCAGTCTCTTATAAAGATCAGACTTCCGTTTCGCACAGCATAAGTTTGTAGTCTTGACTATTACTATCGAAATTCTCTATCAAACAGCTGTACTTCGCACAGCATAAAGTTGTCCTGGATCCAGTAAAAATTGAGAAAAAAATCTAAGTGGGCTTTGACAATTTCAATTTCTGTTTTAGTGGATAGTTTATGTTTTCAATGATAAATTAAATTGTGTGCCATTGAAATCTGAGATGTTTTACTCATAAGTCTGTTCAACTGTTTAAAGATTACAGTACGTTTATAAATTACAGGTATGTTGAACTCCACTTCGTTTTACTCCGTTTCGTTCAACTGTTTATAGATTTCAGTAGGTTTATAGGTTACAGATCGTACTAGATTTTTAAATGTATCGACCAAAAATCCACAATTAACCATGTCTAGAACTCAGAACCAAGAGTCTGTAAAATTTTAATTATGTCTGGAACTTGGAACCAAAATCAAGTAAAGTTTTAATCATGTCTGAAACTTAAATCCAAGATCCAGTAAAGTGTTGAGCCTGTCTGAAACTTGGAACCGTGATCCAGTAAAGTTTGAGAAAAAGTTCTAAGTGGGCTTTGACAATTTCAATTTGAATTTTTTTTATAATTAAGAAATAAGAAAAAGGTCCAAGTAGGCTTTGACAATTACAATTTCAATTTTATATAATTAAGAAATAAGAAAAAGTTCTTAGTGAACTTTGAAAATTTGTTGAAAGTGAAAAATAATTGTGAAAAATTAATTGAATAATTCAATTATATTATGTATCATTTAATAGACATTGTGAAAGTATAAATTGAAATTGTGCTATCGTTGAAACCAAGATCCAGTAAGTATAAGTCCTGTTTGGAACAAAAACAAAAAAAAAATCGAGCAGGAAAAAATTTAAGAATTAAACCAAAAAGAAAAATAATTCCATTATATAAAGTTGTAAAATTGAAAATTTTGAGTGAATATGAAAAAGCAAAAATTTTACCATCGCGCCACCGAGTCTTAATAGCTAAGTTGCTTACAGAAATAATTCAAAAGAGTCTCTTCCTATTAAACATCTTGCAAAGTTTACTCAAAGTTAAAGTAAGTGGACACAGAATTAGAAATTTTTATATTTTCCAAATTTCTTCCTTATTTTTATATTAAACCTATTAAAATTATATATTTTTGGAAAGCTTATCAAATTTCCAATATGATGATTAGAAAAATTTTGGAAAATTTGCAAGTAATATAGTCACTTTATGTAAAAAACGCATTTTATATATGCAAGTTATTAATGTTTTTTATTTTTCTCAGCAACGACTCTATGAAAAGCTTTCAAATTTTGCACACTCATTCCTTATTTAAATGTTAATAACTCGTATAAGTTTCAGAATTTTCCATTGAGTTTTTCATGAGTTTCCTAGCCTGAATCTTTCACTATTTAAATTCATTTTTCTCGATAACTGCGGATTGCTATTAGTTGTTGTTCATCTTAGTTTCTTTCATTTTTCAATAGCTTTCCATGGATATATAACAATCTAGGAAAAAGTATGAGACAAGAGAGAAATCAATAAAAAAGTGTAAAAAATTTCAAAATTCTCCGCCATCTTGAATTTATTTTGCTTTTTCTGGTTAAACTAGTCAAATTTCATAAAAGTGTCATACATTTTTGGAAAGGTCTAGCTTAGTACTTTCATTCACTAGAAACCGCGTAAGTCTACGATTCGCACAAGTAAAATTATAGGAGGTTGAAGTTGGTAAGATAAAAAAATTTCAAATTTTCAAAAAAAATTTTCAAAAATATTAATTTACTGCTTTTTGTTATTATTAGATGCATAAAAATGGTAAATTTTGTTGTTTTATAACATATTCTAATCAAAAAACATTATCTTATAGCTTAAATATCAAAGAAAAAAAAAAATATTTTCTTCATATTGAACTGTCTATTCTTACCAACTTTAAGCTCCTATAATTTTACTTGTGCTAATCGTAGACTCATGCGGTTTCTGATGAATGAAATTACTAAGCTAGACCTTTCCAAAAATGTATAACACTTTTATGAAATTTGATTAGTTTAACCAGAAAAAGCAAAATAAATTCAAGATGGCGGAGAATTTTGAAATTTTTCATACATTTTTCACACTTTTTTATTGATTTCTCTTTTGTCTCATACTTTTTCCTAGATTGTTATATATCAATGGAAAACTATTGAAAAATGAAAGAAAATAAAATAAACAACATCTAATAACAATGAGCAGTTATCGAGAAAAATGAATTTTAATAGTGAAAAGTTCAGGCTAAGAAAACTCGTGAAAAACTCAATGGTTAAAACTCAAGTTATTAACATTTATATAAGCAATGAGTGTGCAAAATTTGAAAGCTTTTCATAGAGTCGTTGCTGAGAAAAATAAAAAACATTAAAAACTTGCATATATAAAATGCGTTTTTTACATAAAGTAACTATATTACTTGCAAATTTTCCAAAACTTTTCTAATCATAATATTGGAAATTCGATAAGCTTTCCAAAAATATATAATTTTAATAGGTTTAATGAAAAAATAAGGAAGAAATTTGGAAAATATAAAAATTTCTAATTGTGTGTCCACTCAAAAAATGATTTTCAAAAAAAATCCGAAAATACCAAAAAGGATAATCGCTCCTGGGTGGGATCGAACCACCAACCTTTCGGTTAACAGCCGAACGCGCTAACCAATTGCGCCACAGAAGCGAAATTGTGTTGATATTCGGAATTGAAAATTTATCATATTTGAAGTTTTGGTCCTTATCAGTTTAAGTTAAGCTACTTTTTGGTTAAATTATAGCGGATTAAATTATCATTTTTCGTTTTTATTTGGTTTCTACTGATTATCAATTTTTGTAAGGAATTGATATGGTTTGTCTGGAACTTTACAAATCTTTTGAACTATTTAAAAAAAGGTTCATCAGGATCAGGGATTAAAAATCCTTTTAAATGTTCAATTATTCAAGTTTGAAGCGATTTTTAATTTACTGAATTTACTGATTATTATGATAGATTTGATAGCTAGGAAACTTCCTTGAACAACCAATTGTCTGGCAAAATTAAAGAAAGCAATCAAGGACATTTTGAAAAATTTAAAGATATTTGGTGGATAGAATAAAATCAAGTCAATTTTAATTTTGAGCAAAATATAAAATTTATAAAAAATATCCTTTTCTGAACTTATAATCAATCTTTTGTGATAAAAAATATTTCTGTTCCATTTAATTGTACAAGACTATTGAGCAATTTCAGTAAGCTCAAGTAAAAATTGTACAAAAACTTTGAATTAAAAAGTTGAACAATGTTTGAAAATGAAATCACCATTAAAAATGTTTTGGGAAAACTGAAGTAAGCCATAGACAGAATAAATTAAATGTACAGCTTAATGTAAAAATTATATGATTCCAACCAACAAAAAATCATAAACTTTATCTTGGAATAGAATTAATTCACTATGAAAAATTTATGTTCTAGTCTTATCCAAATTTTTCGATCCAAAGTCGCACACAACATGCTTTGCGTTTGAAAAACTGTTTCTCCTGGGTAACCATAGACATAAAGGAGGCAAAGCTAGTAACATAGAATTCCGAGCTTATGACATGTGTAGATTGGTCAATAATACTGCATAATTACATGATTCTTGTGTATCGTACGCAAAAGAATTTTATACATGCTTTGTGATAAAGAAAATAAATATTTAAAAGACTCGAATGCATTTGTAGAAGCTTAGTTTACTTTTCAACATGTTTGATATTCCCAATAGCTACAGTTTAACCAGACAATTTGGCGACATCTTAGAAAAGTTATACAGTTGAATAGAAGCCTCAAAGCTATTATATAATTAATAGCTTAATTATTATAATTAAGTGACATGGCTGAAATTACCTGTAGAAAAATAACAAAAAGTATTTTCAATTTTTTACTGTATTTTATTCATGTTTTATGCTTATTTCATTACATCAATGAATTTAATTTTTTTGCTGTCAGTTCTTGTATTGTTTTGTTTTAATTTTCTCCATAACAATTAAAAAGCATGCTTACAATAATTTTAACCTTATTGTAAACATGATCTATAGCTGTTCGGACTTGTAATTTGATTATTTATTGATAACTATTTTCCAACTTATCGACGGTGTTTGGTTAAAAAGGTTTTCTTTTAGATTACACTACTAATTTGAATAAGAACTTTTTTTTTGTAATTTCTATTCGCATACATAATAATTTAATTATCATTTTTTAAGGGCTATAATCATATAAATTATAATTAAAGTTTTATTCAATATAGTGGGACTAAAAAGTATAATTAATTGATATCAGAAATTATTTAATGGATGAGACTCTATTCAAAGAGCTCTGTCCTCTAGGAAATTATCATAGACGATGTGAATATTTTGTGTGCATTTAAAATTATAATTATTTAAATATTTTTGAGCATACATCTGCTAATTTCTTCATTATTACAGAGAGAAGTAGTTTTGCACACTTATGAAAAGAATTGGAACCGCCATAATTCTTGAAAAATCCTATTGTCCATATTTCTAAAAAGTCAAATCTTCAACTTTTTTGTACAAATTAATATTCACTATAAATAAATTTTCTAAAGTCACTTCCTAATTTTTCATTATTTAGAATAATTGTAAGCAATCATTAACTTAAGCTTTATCCTCAATTTAATTGCAAAGTCAGTAAAAATTTAAATTTCTTACAAATTGAAAAAAAAATGATTTTTGAAACTCACACAAAACTAGTTAAATTAAAGTAGTAAAAATGAATAAAGATTTAATCTTAAGAATTATCACATTTAGTAAAAAATTTAATGATAGTTCTGGAGGAGGTCTATGACATATTATTGGTAGGCTTGATAAGAACGTGTTTGAAGGTTTTTTAATCCAATTCTTCATGATTAGAAAATCTCGAAATTTTAATAATAATGTTTTTAAATCAAAAAATCATTTTGAAGCCTAAAATCCCAAAATTCACTAATTCAACTTCAAAAACTCTCTTATAACATCAATCAACATGCCAAAGACCCCCTTAAACTTCTTTACTAATCGAAACCGCTTCACTAGTTCCTTAGAAATTAAGATTGAAAACATTATTTTTTTTCTTATTGTGGCTTAAGCTTGACAAGCGTTAACAGCTTAATTTATTTTTTTCCATTTCTTTTTTTTCCATAGAATTACAAACAAACTTATTTTTTTGAGATTTTCCGTACAAATATTTTTTTTTGACTTTCTCAAGACGGAAATTTTCTATTAAAAAAAATTTCTCAAACATTTTGAATGATAATTTCTTAGAAAATCCAATTAACATTAAGGAGTAGCTCTTGATATTATTATCAAAATTATGAAAATCGATGTATCGGACCTGATTGACACATTTCATAAAAGATCTAGTAGACAAGCTTCATCGTGTGTCCGAAAAATGTCAGCAGTGAAAAATTGCACTGTCAACACCCAAATCACAATGTGTCAGTCAGGATTATGATCTTCTAAGCATTCAGTTTTTTTACCTTACCAAATATTCATCGAAAGAACAACAATAATTTTTTTTAAGTTCCACAGATCGATCTCCTTCATCATTTTCACAATGTGTTAATGTAAAAAATATTTTTCATTTTATCTACTTTTGGTGGTAGCAATTTAACTCAGCACTAAAAACGTCATCGACCACATTTTTTTTTTGTATGACTATGCGTTCATTTAACATCTAATACTTTCATTAACTTAATCCTCATTGCAACTTTTTTTTGAAATTTTTTTTTGTAGTTTTATAATTTTATATTAAATATTATTAAATTATAATCCAGTTTACTCGATATCGTGGAACTTGAGGATAGCACGACCGGGAATTTCTGAGTGGACAAGTTTACGAATGACTTCAGCGGCTTGTTCTGCTGGAAAAACTGTATGTGGTGGTGGTGTAATCTAAAAATACAGAATGAAATGAAAAATTAATATTAATATTAATTATTTTTGGCATCGGAATCGACTAAGTACATCAAAGGGTATCTGAAGGACAAATACAGAAACAGAAATCGAAAGAGAGCAAAAAATTCTTTCACGTTAATTTTAATTTCCGTCTATTTTTAGTCATTCTATTTCCTCTAAATTTTCGATGCTTACCTCATTGTTAGCAACAAGTCTGACAACTTCATGAAGTTGCTCAATTGTACCCAAAGGCACTGGTTCGATATGTTGTTTCCTTTCTTCTGCCTTACGTGAGAATTTAGGTAAAAGTTTCTCGGCTGTCTCCTCGCTAATCAGCACAACACCACCATCATTCAAGCATTGTAATGATCGGTGTAAACTGCGTGATGTTGTGCCAAAGTCAATGACAATATCTACTAATCCATTGCATGAATCGAGTGTACGCTCAATTAATTGCTTCTCGTATAAATCTTCACTCCATTGAACAAAATTGATACTGCAATGAAAAAATAATATTACGTGATTAGATAGCTACTCGATTGGAAGCGATAACAAATATGGAAAGGCGCATTTGAGTAAATATTTTGAATCGAATTCGGATATGTCGTACGTTATTTATTTTTTTAAAATACAAAACAAGTGAGTCAAACTAAACAAGTTGAACTAGAAAGGAAATTAAGGTTAGGTCGACGAAAAAATGCGCACAAAAAAATTCTTGACTTACTTTTCAAACTCATGCTTGGCCATTTCCAAGCCCTCATCACGTAAACTTGCAACAGTAATCTCTACTTTATCTTTAGAATCCTTAGTATAAAAGTGTTGTGCAGCAATTCTTAATGTCCACAAGGCCAAACCACCAGTTCCAACAATTAATAATTTAACAGGCTTATTAGCATCTTTACTTTTCTTATGGAGATTATCAATGATTTTGTGTGCTGAGAGAATTGAACTCATTGCTAGTAGGGCACCAGTTGGCAACATAGCAGCAACTGACAATTCAAGATTGTCAGGAATTGGAATCAAATATCTCAAGTCTGGTACGACAAAAATCTCTGAATAGCCAGCTGGAACGCCATCATATGGATATAAACAGACACGTTGACCAACAGTGAAACCACACGTGGATTTTAATTCAGATCCAAGGGATTCTATAACACCAGCTACTTCAAAGCCTGGAAACAGTGCTGCATCTCTATATCCACAATTTTGAGGTGACGTTTGACTAAGTGAATTCTCTCGTCCATATGAGCCAGCCGATTGCATTTGTGCTAATGCTGCTGCTGTAAAGCTTATATCTGACATCTCACGACAAAGTTGCTCTTGATTTAGACTTCCTATACTTGAATTAGATGTCTCGCGAGCTCTTCGATAACACGCACCAGCATAAACAACAAGAATACGTGCACCTTTGGGTGGGCAGTTTCCGACTGGAACAATTGCATTATAGACACAATCACCTTTTAAAAGATTTGGTGATTCAATTGACACTTGACGGCATAGGCGGTTGATTTCGCCTTTCTCCATTGAGCTGGAACGGCTATAAATATATATAAAAAAAAATATAGATTAAATTAGCATAAATTAGTCTTTGTGCATTAGTAAATATGGATACGTGTATTTTCATGGAATATTTATAGATTGACGTAAAAACAAAAAAAAAAGTTTATGGATGATAATTTATTTTTTTGTGTGAATGTATTGGCACGTGTAGATTTTTTTTTATACTTTCGACTATGCGGCTGTAGCTTTGAATTCAGCGCACTCAGTAATTCGTCAGGATAAGTATCCATTTTGAGTCGTTCAACGGAAGTCACAAATAAGAATGAATTTGAGCAATTTAGAGAAAATTTCATTTAATTTAAAAACAGTATCTTCGGCAAGGTCGAGTACGAAGAGTATTTCCTTTGATTAAGGTTCGTTAAACGAATTTAGCGCTCAATTAGCTATCGTTTGCCAAAAAAAAATCTCTGACATGATGACACGAAACAAAGAACATCGAACTAGAACCTGCTGATTCGTACATTATCTCACATGCGATGCATGTGCTTGATTAAATAATTGATAAATATTTAATTTAATTCGTCATTTAACGCCTTTGTAACTCAGATTTTAATCAAATCAGCATTTTTACAGTCTTTCGTCATTTTATTGATCATCTGATTCTTCTTATCAATTTAATAATAGATTTTACTTGTTTTTTATAGCTGAGATTAAATTGTTTTGTAAGCTTTTCATGTTATTATTTTGATTTACCGGTTGTTTGCGGAGATAATTAGCACTTAGTTCATAACAAGCTTTCTCTTTTGAAATTGAAACTTTTTGCTTCGATATTTGAGAGATTTGATGGGGAAAATTTCGTGAAACTGAAGTGTTTTGCTGACCTTTAGACATTAAAAGTCCAATTTGCTAATTTGAGGTTTTCTTATGAATTATTCTCAAATTTCTCAAATCAAGAGTATTTTAAAGATTTAATTGGATTTTATAGAAGTATAAATATTGAAGAATTGAACCAGCTAATCATAATTGCTAGAATATCAAACTCTCATCAATGTAAATATTGGATTTAAATAAGAAATTATTGGCAATTTAAAATTCGTGATCTAAAATCATCAACAATTGAATTTTAATTTTAAAATTGTGTTGTTTGTCAGTCAAAAATTGCTGACAGTGTAGCAAATAAATTTACAAGTTGCACACTTTTTTGTAGTTTGCCAGAAACATTTGACTGCAAAATTTCAGCTTATCGGTCTCAAATCTATCGTTTTAAAATAGAAACATTTCAAAATTTTTGAATGTCTTCTAGTTGTAAACCTTACTAAAGAATTAAGTTGTCGAATCGAACCAAATCGACTTTAAACTTTGCAATTAAGTTTTAATTTATAAAGTTCAAAATCAACTAGACATTAAAGTTGTTCATATTTAAAATTTACAGCTAGTTGAGAAATTTTCCTTTCTTTCTTTGTTAACTTAATTTTGTCTTTGTTTTTTTCATTCATAAGTCTTTTAATTGAACATACGTGTAAGATATTTCTGATAAATTGTGTTTACGTGATCTAAAATCATCGTGAATAGAAAATTAGCACAGATCAATACTTAATTAATGTTTCTTAATGAAATATAAACAATTCTTCATTAAAAACTTAAAAAAATTTCAAGAATTTCTCAAATATTTATATAACATATCCAATCTTAATCATTAAATGACGTCAAATCAATTAACGCAACCCAAAAAATAATCCATAATATTGAAAACAGACAAATTAACACCAATTCTTTACAATCATAAGTCACACATTTCTATAAAAAAAATATTTAAACTAGAGACATTTCCACCAACTAGATAACATTTGAAACTTAATGTCAATTCATCATATTATTCTAAAAAGTCAACTTTACGTGTAAACCTTCAAAACAATTTTTTGAGTCAAAAGAAACAGCTTGAAAAGCCACACTCATTACCGATAAGATAACAACAAAACGTGCAATTTAAAAACAAGAGGCAAAAACTTATAAAATTTTAAAGTGTGCAATAAAAGAAAAAAATCAGTTGCACTTGACGGCAAATTGTAATTGTCGCTAATGGTATAATATTAAGTCATTAAGAATTTGATAAGAGCTGTAATTAATTTTTTTTTATGATTTAATGAATTAATCAACACAAATTCGGATTAAGGTCTTATCAATTTGACAAAATAAAAATAAAGAAAAAGGCATTACTAGGTCAATGGAACAATGTGTCTTTTAAATAAATAAATTGTAAACAATCCCAGTTGCTCTCGTGCATGAGGAGGAAAAAATAAATAAATAATTTAATCATTTTGTATGCAATTTGCGTCACTATTAAACTTCATCATTTCTATCGGATAGAACAATTGAGTGACAAAGAAAGAACATTTTTTAATAGATGGACTACAAAGTCTCTCCAAGGTGACTTTCTGACTCGGAAAATATTCATTTTTTTGCTTTTTTTTTTGTTGTAACACAAAATAAACTAAAGAAAAGTTCTATTAATAAATAAACGAAAACAGAAGATTAAAAAACTAGTTCAGCGGCTACATTCAGCTCTGGCTTTATTTACGATCATTTTTTCAATGAAACATTTTTTTCTTCTCTTTTTATATATTTGCGAATGATGTTCCTGCTTCGACTGATCATCCTTAAACTAAAATATTCGGTTAATAAATTTATCAAGACAAGCCCATTAAAAATCATTCGATTGAGGCCACAAGATTTTTAAAAAAATCACGTCAACCAAATTTTATTCATCTAATTCTTCGGAGACTTCATAAACAAAAACAAACCAGGAATGAAAAATTCTCGACATTAAAAATAGAATAAAAAGTGTCGAGTTTTTAAAAACAAAAACGTTTAATTCGAGAACCTTCCAATGTCCCTCAGACATATCCATAAATATTTATCATACTTTATTTTTGCTTAACTGGTTATTATGCAAAGCTTTTAATTGTAAACATCAACAACTAGTCATAAGAAAAATTGAACAAATAAAGAAATCTAGAATTTCCATTTCCTTTATTCGCTTGAATTTCAGAATTTTATTTCAATTTACAATAATTTTATGAGTAAGCTATATAAGGTTAAGCTAGGATTGTAGTCTGGGAATTTTAATCGGGGAGGAGGGTCGCTCAACTTTGGTTTTTCATGGACAGAACTTAGTTTTTTTTTGGAATTGTGGAAGAATTTCCTATTGGAATTTATAGTTTTCAAATTCTTTGACTAAACTGGAATACTTTTAGCTAGATTTTGAGTTTAAGTCGGGTTTGCTTTAGACTTGAAACCCTTTAGCTACGCTCTTACTTGCACATCTCTACTAGCTGATCTGCTTTATGAAAAAACAGTGTTCAAAATAGTTCAAAACCTTAGCTTTTAGTTGATAAAGTTTAAAAAGTACTGAAGACCTTCCTCTTAATCCTAACTAGAGTCATTTGTTCGATCAAATTCAAGAATTTTAAGAATTTTAAACGATTTTTGCAATCTTTCTAGGATTGAACCTCATTTAATTTTTAAACAGGTTATTCTACCTTATTGAAACCCTTCCCTGACTACACCCCCTAACTCCAGCTACTCGACATACAATAAATAAATTATAAACGACTTCAAATTACAAGTCTACTAGCACTGACATAAGAGACATAGAAGTTTTCACTTTTCAATGTCAATGAATTTCACACAGCACATTATAAGGATGAAAGAACTTTTTCCATGTTACCGTGACGAGACAGAGATGGAAAATTTTCTTTTTCTCTCCCTCTCACTTTCTCCACATTGAGTCACACCATACATTGTTAACAGTATTAGTGCATATAAATGTTATAGAGAGCCGTATCACGCAGTCAGCGAATGATTCAAATACATCATGTACACGAATGTTTCAATAAACTTTAATATTATACATTGCAAGGCAGGTAGACCGTATTGTGAAAAGAGAAAATTATTTTTAATGAACTTTGGACTAGCTTGGTTGGATATCTTGATGAATTTTCACGTTTTCCATGAGGTCGATGGGAATTAAGTATTTACGCAATAGGAAAAAAATTAAATATTAGAACGATTCCATACCCATACATAAGGAATTCATTCTGTCGTTCTGTCAGCTCAGTTTTCATCTGCATTTTAAGCTGATTTAATGAATCTGCAATCGTCATGATTGATTTCTTTCTTTGTTATAACTATTAACACTGAAGTTTTCTTTCTTTTTTTTTATTCCTTTTTGGATATTTCACAATTTTTTGTAGTTTTTTCAACAACTTCTTATTTTTTTCAATATAGTTTTTTTTTATTTGATTTAGAAAAACTCAACACTTGAACAAATTTCACAAATAATTTTCAACAAATTTTATTTTTTTTTATCTTTTTCACTTTTGAAATTTATATAATTTTATTTTTTTCAGAAATTATTAATTTTAATAATTCTGTGTTGCTAGTTTCTTTCAGTTTTTAGGTTCTTAACGCTTTCGCTTAACGATTCAGTATGAGAATATTTTTTCCTTATTTTTGTTTTTTATATTTCGTATAACGATGAATGTTTTACGTGTGTACGACAGCTTTAAAATTCAATGTTTCATTGCACAATGCCTTGATTGTGTTAGTGAATGTTTTTTCAAGTCGTTGCCTATGACGCATTTCTTATTTTATTGAATATTATGAAAATTAAATGAAATTTTACTCAAAATGACTAAAGAACTTTTATCAATTCTGAATTTAGAATTCAGAATTTCAATTATTTTAATTTCGACAATTTTAAGGCAATTTTCGTCAGCATTTTAATTCAATAAAGTTTGTGAGACAAAAAAATATTTTATCATAACAAATTTAAAAGCGTATTGAGCAGAAAAAACAAATGAAAAATAAGAAGAAGAAGTAAGAAAACATTTAAACACGCTATGTTCGGATGATAGTTGAGAGGAAAAAAATGTATAAAATTCATACAGATGATATCCAAATATTTTCACTCTCAATTAATGTTCGGCCTTAATTTTTCCGCATCACTTGCCCCCATTTTTGATATAGGCATGAAAATATGAGAAATTTTGATTGACAAAAAAGTATTTTTATGGTCTAATTGGATGTCATTAAATTGATAAAGATGCTACTAATGGATTGTACATACAATATGCCTTGATTTTTACTAAATGTGATGGATATTTGATATGTTATTATCATATTTGATTTGAGTCAAGACAGACGAACTTCAGGGGTGTGTCTAAGAGCTTTTGAGAGACATCTTGATCAATTCTTGATGAAACTTTAAAGGGTCCTCTCTAAAAAATGCTTTCATTTAGAGAAACTTAACTCATTACCCCTCAAAATTCCAAACTACATCCCTGTCCCTTGTCATTTCTTCCGACAAAATAACCAAGCCTAATGAGGCTCATTTTACTTTCTTAAAGACATCCAATCACACGTTTATTACAATTTCGCAATCATTATCTGTAATACACAGGTTGTGTGCATGCATTCGTGTATTTACAAGACATAATTGCTTGCTCAGTGAAAGAAATTCAGCAGTTGATTGCGGTTCATTTCCCAAACGAATTTAAAGTTCCACATTAATGAAATGAGTTTCAACTACTTTTGTGATACGTGCAGAACTCACAAAGTAAATATTTTCATTTTATTCTTCTTATTATCAAGTTTAAATATGTGGAGACTTGAATGTATATGCATAGAATATTATCACACATGATGATTATTTATATTCAAGTGAATATAAGAAAATTTTACTTCACGTCACCACAAGACCTAGAATAAGTTACTTTGTGGTGTCTAATGTAAGCATAATTATGTCAAAATTCAGATAAAAAGTTATTTAAAGACATAAATCACATCTGTAAGAAGATTCGCTTCATTGATTAAAGATGTTGCTAAGGCTTATAATTCAATCAGCGTATAAGATCAATAGATTTGATTTTCTGATAAAATTCAGATGAAAGGAAATTCTCTGATTTTACATGACTAAGGTACCTAAAAGGGGTTTCTCACAAAGCTATGACAAATAAGTAAGTATGACATTTACTTTTGAGTTTTTGCCAATTTGTCTTGCACAAACACGTGAATAATGTATTTCAAAAGATGTCGTCCATTTGAGTTAATATTTAGGAAGTTGTGAGTCTGAAACAGAGTCGAATTTGTGGTATTTAGGTTTAAAGGTGAGAATCTGCCAATTAGAGGGTAAAGCTTCGGTTGTCTAGTCGGTAGGGATCTGAGAAGTCTTTGGCAAAGATGTGAGTTCGATTCTCACTAGAAACTTACATATAATGTTGTTAGACGTTACAAAAGGATGGAAATCTGCTTTACAAATATAAATGGAGCAGAATGTATCAAACTACCAAAGAGAAGTAGAGAAGTTATGGTACTTATTTCTAGAAACCCTTGCATAATGAAGCGGTTTCCTGTGCAAAACATATCCTTGATAGCTTTTCAAAACAAAGATCTCTTAATGCATCAAATCATTAATTATGAAGCCATTCCACACCCAATCCAGTTTAAAGCTAGTTGAGAGTTCATTAATTAAATGCCCTCAAGAGAGTTCGTTAACATCAAAACTTCATCCCTAACAAGTCACATTCTCATACGCATGTATAATTAATCAGAACTTCTAATTAACAAAAGTATCAATTAATACATCAATTACTGTATAATCCATAACAATAATTGTCATTGTCTCGACTACAAAAAAAAATGTAATCCCACGTGTTGAACTCTTGATTTTGATTATCATAGAAAGTCTGAAGTCATTTTTTTCGAACGTTGTTTGGATTTCTTAATCTATTACTGATAAAATTCAGATATTGTGAAATTGAAGGCTAATAAACTTTTGATAACGTTGTGCAACCAAGTCATGATTGTCATTGCGTGCCATAAAGCATGAGCATAATTTGCAAGCTTGTAAAAATGTCAACATGACATCGATCCTGATTAGTAATTGCGCACAATAAAGGTTCAATTTCCTCTCGGGTATGTCAATTGTCTGAAGGAAGACGCACCCGTGGCGTATATGAGCTCATTTCCTTTTAGAAACATCTTGTACATGATGTGCATTGATTGACAGTTGCAGACGATCGGTTATAAATGTAGATATTCCATGCGAGATACTAAGATGGAAAGGGTTTAGACATTTGCGTAATCTAGTGAGTTTTGAGGATCTTATGGATTAAGGGTTACTAGGTTAGAGCTAGAAGGCATGATAGGAGTCAAAACAAACAGAAAAGAGGTCCATAAACATATTATGCGACAGCCCCTCAGCCACACATTGCCAAACATCCATCAAATCGTTTTATCATCATAATACATCGTTATCACGTAAAGTCAGCCATGAAACAAGATCCAAATCTCACGTATGTGACTTTTCAATTTAAATAAATTACAATCTGTGAGAATTTAGTGTCAAAATTAGTCGAAAATGAGAAAAAGTAAACAGCAATTGTGGCGAGAATATCGAGTTGTTTGGATGTGAGTCAAGATGTTTTTCATTCGATTAGGTCAACGACAACGCAATTTATTTCTTCATTTTTCAAGCAACAAAGTCCCCCATAAGATGAATAATGGATATTACTTTGTGCCAAATTCTGGGTACTTATTGAAATTGAAAGTGCTCTCATTTCTGTGCCTTTTTTTATTCCTTTCCTGACATTTTCAAATATCAAAAAAGATTTATTTATTTCTGCTCGCCGACACAACAAGCGATTCATCCTCTTCGTTCCAATTCGTCGTGCAAGAAAAAAAAATAAGAAAATTTGAGATCAACGCAATGAGAAAAAGTTTTTCTCCCCATTGACATCATCACGTTCATGTATCGTGATAGTCTGAATGTCTACATAGCATTACAGCGTGATTTTTGCAAGAGCTGAATAGGAATTGTGTTGAAAATAATTATTTCAATTATTTTTCGTGCATTTTGTACCGGCATCAACAGAATTTATTTTATTGAAATATTTCATCATCAGCGAATTGTTATTATGGGAATAGAACTTGAGCACGTGGAATTTAGAATATTTTAAAATGTTCTCAGGGGTCGGTCATGAATCAAGGTACAATTTTAAGTGATGAAGGAGGTTTGAAGCTATATAACACAAACTGCTCAATTTTATCAGCTCTCTGCCTCAAAGGCTTTACTTTAGAAACCCATTTCTTAACATACATCATTCCTAAACATCCCCACAACAACCTCCTCATTTATTTCAATTTCAAGCACTTGTTCCAATCACGCGATCGATGCACATTATGGCTGCTTCAAAAACAATTTGTGTTGTCTAAAATTTCCATCCAGACAGCTCATCAAATTCAACAATGGCATCAAGTTCCATCGAAATTTAGTCTAGAGTACGAATTATTTTTTGTGAAATCTAAAACCTTCCATTATTCACTCGAATGTATTGTTTATGATTCTCGTGAAAAATGCTCAATCTGAATTTTCCAGAATAAATGGCAATTTCCAATCATTTTGAGGCACATGAGTCATTAGAATTTTTTCTAGAAAAATTATTCTTAGCACTTAGATTAATTAATCGTACTTTTAAATATACAGCTGTGAGCAGCACGCACGAAAAAGTACTCCGTTTTTCGAAACGACTGAAAGATAACTAGTAGCAACAACCGCTATCTTATTATTTTACCGAATTGTGAAACTTTTTCGCTCTTTTGAAAGATTTGAGTTTATGTGGACGTAATGACTACTTACTATAGCTTGTGTGGTAGCTAATAACAGTAATTATCCTTTGACTAGCTAGTAACATATGCTGTATTGAGTAATATCAAGTTCAGGATTGATTATTTTATTAATTCAAGGCATAAGTTCAAGTTGGATAGAATCAATGTACTCAAAAATAGAAATTTCAGCTGTGGAATATTTGGAAAGAGTGATTGCTTGTGTCATAGTTTCTCTGCTTTATGTCAGCTAGCGAGAAACTTTGCAATATTTCTTAATGTACCGCAAAAAGCATGTTGTCATACAGTGCAACACGAGCCAAGAAAGTTTTATCGTCCCTGAAATATTTTCTTCTGAATAACTTTATGGTACACATGCACTTGATATCTAGATTTGAACTTTTTGGGTATAAGAATTTTTTCAACAATCTTTATTATAGAAGCTGGAAAGGGCTTCATCTGAAATAGGATCTTGTCCCACCTGTGTCACAAAACTTTCTTTTGGATGAATAAAATTGACAGCAAGAGACTCTTTTTATCCCCAAAAAGTTGGACATCCTTGAAAACTTAAGTGCTGAAATAAGTTTAGGTTATTTTGCCAACACACTTAAGAATGCAGAAGGTCTGAAAGGTTATATTTGTGTCCCTCGTGATTAGAGACTGGTTTCTTATTTGAAACTAAGTCGGCTATTTTGGATTATCCTTAAAAACTGAACCCTACATTCTTATTGAAGTTTTGACTACAACCAGAACTTGGTTGTCCTTATTATGGGTTACAATTTCTCATTGAAATTTGACCGCTTTACATTTGGCCACAACTAATTTCGCCGTATATATCCTTAAAAATGGGCCACTATGCTTAGTATTTTTATGTCCAGTCTTAGTATTTTTGTATCAGAAAAAAACTAGTGGCTAACCACAAATCTCATCAAAGTCGCTCCACTCGTGCTTTAGCAATAAAAAATCCACTAAACTTTATTCCTAGACGTTCTCCATGCATACATGCATTAAAGTTTTTAACCTTGTCTAGGTCATATTGCAAGAGAGACACAAAAAATGTTATGCAATGCTTAATTTTGCTGTAGAATAAAGTTATGACTGAAAAGTGA